TTTTCTGATAAATCCTACAAACTTTCTTAAATCTATATCCTACTTTTTCATATTGAGTATTAACTATAGAAAAGAAAATGGATATGAAAGTGGAAATATAATTATTATTGATGATACTTTTCGTATTTAAGTAAAATCTTCTTACTCCGATCGTGGTGTCCTACCAAAACATGTTTAAGTTTATTGTTTGGTTTTAAGTTGAGTAGGACTAACAATTTATGTGTATCAGTATATATGTGAAAATATATGTATATATGTAACGTTCGTAATAATTATTTCTTAAGACTTCGTTGTTAAGCTGTGTTTAACATGTACATATATCCCTGATTACCGATTTTAATAAAACACATTTCATTCAATTTTAATTATGTTAAATTTCTTAACCTGTCTAATAATAAATTAAAGATATCTGCATAAAAATTTACAGAACACCTAATATACATGTCGGAGAAGATGCCAAAACGTGGTTTTTAAAATGAGTGACGTCAGCATAACTGACGTCACCAGCGCGGTTTGTTCTCGAATGTCGTCAGCCCTTGAGGCTATCGAAGGTAACCTCACAGCCCTCACAGCCGGTTGGATGGTGTCTCACTTCGAAGAGGTCCGATCCCCGCGACGGCTCCAGCACGACTATCTGTAATCAGTAATCTCGCCTCTATTTATAATGACTAACAGCCATTGTTATGACTTCACTTGCACAGGTTGTTATGCGAACGACACCTGATAATTTATCTACCCTCAATTATTGGTTATTAAAATTGTAACTGCGCCGACACGGCCATTCTGACAGTTGGTGCGCGCTCTGCACCATCCTGCATTCTTGGTTAAGATTCCCTGGTCACCTGAGGATGAAATAAAAACAGAAACTGATTGTTATGAGCTAGCTCAAGGGTAGCACATGATTAGTTCAAAGATGTAACACTCTCCAGATCTACGGTGTATACATGTCTCCTCACGGTTCCACAAGGCGTCCCTTCGTTATCTCATGGTTCTCTTACGGATACATCAAGGACCTGTGGTTAGCTCAAGGATAGCACGTAATTAGCTCAGAGGTATCACTCTTTGGTGCATACATGTCTCCTCACGGCTTCACAAGGCATCCCTACAGAATCTCATGGTTCTCTTATGGATACATCATGGACACGAGGTTAGCTTGTGGGTAACACGTGGTTAGCTCAGAGGTAACACTCCAGATCTGTGGTGTACACTTGACTTCTGATCGTTCCACAAAGGATTTTAATTTTTAGGATGTTGCTGTGGTCTGGGCGGTCTTGTACGCCGTGGTCCACAGAGGCTCTAAGGGATTGAGGTAGGTCGATGCTGTGGTCTAGGACTTTTTGTCCGTGGTCCACAGGGGCTCTGAAACATTGAAGAAAAATTCCATTATTATCAGATGGACGAGCAGAAGTGAACTATCCCACTTCTGATGTCGGAGAAGATGCCAAAACGTGGTTTTTAAAATGAGTGACGTCAGCATAACTGACGTCACCAGCGCGGTTTGTTCTCGAATGTCGTCAGCCCTTGAGGCTATCGAAGGTAACCTCACAGCCCTCACAGCCGGTTGGATGGTGTCTCACTTCGAAGAGGTCCGATCCCCGCGACGGCTCCAGCACGACTATCTGTAATCAGTAATCTCGCCTCTATTTATAATGACTAACAGCCATTGTTATGACTTCACTTGCACAGGTTGTTATGCGAACGACACCTGATAATTTATCTACCCTCAATTATTGGTTATTAAAATTGTAACTGCGCCGACATACACTATACACTATTTTTACTTACTTTCCAATAATATAATTTCATACCTGACTTGACATATAAAGTTTCATAATATTTTAATATTTTTTGCCTTATAAGATTAAGTAATTAAACACTAATATAGTTTCTTTAGTTCTTGTCTTCCTACATATGTATTTTATTTTGAAGTCCTGTTTTTTTTACTTAAAAATTATTTTTCCTGAAGTCAAGACATACAAGTCACCTTTGTATAACCTTTGTTTAGGAAAACGTTGAGTAGAATGACTATAAGCACGATAGACTGAGTAGTATTAACCAACGTGTTTAGTGCCTGTCACGTTTAGTTATAAAATATATATTTTATATGGATAAATAGTGAGAAAAAAATACGTTCACTAGAAGAGAAATCTTTGTGGTATTACAGAAATCTCTTCAAATAAGTGAGACTAAACATTTTTTTATAATTTTCACATTAATTCTTTGTATAAGATATAAGACTATTAAAGTTTATGGAGGAGATAATTAAAATGACCTGGTTGGTGGTTATGTCTAGGTCCCTGATGTGTTCAATATTGATTAGTACTGAAGACAAACCAATATTGGCAGTTGATACGTAAGAGCCAACCTGCGTCATGAAGGGAACAATATATAGATATATTACATTCAATAGCTTTTGTTAAAATTACATCGACGTATATGAAATGGAGCTATAAAATTAACTTGCAAACTAAATTTAGTAAACCGGTAAATTAGTCATTCTATATATTATACAGGGTGACTGGTGAATTACTATCAATATTTAAGGAGAATACTCGGTACATGATTCTCATTCCAATTATGTAAAAAAAATAGGTACTTAATTTTTGACCAAATTTCCGTATAAATAAATAATGTGTGGACACGTTCCTAGTGTTCCAAGTGTGGACGCGTGCGGCGGCGTGCTGATACAACACCACGCCGCCGCACGCGCGTGTGTGTGTGTGTGTATACCTAATCTGTAGAGTGTTCACACGATGCGTAATTAATTACATAACTTTTGGTTAACTTTACTTAGAAGTTTATTAATATTTATGTTATATTAATTTTTATTTTGTCATATATGATCGTCAAATATCACGTTCTCAAGTATCGATAGTAATTCACCAGTCACCCTGTATATTGATTAAATTAATGCGCGGAGGCAATCAGTAAAACATCCAGAACCGTTGGTTTTAGTTTTATTTTTAAATGCATTTTATAATATTGACGAAGTTATATCTTTTCAACAATATGTTAGATTTAATTTTTGTTCTTAATGTCCTATGGCGTGTAAAGAGACTCTTTTACTGAGATTCCACTATCCTTTCGTCCACCTGCCCATCTATGACCAGGCAACATCTCGTGCATAGTGACACTTGTTTGAAATTATCACAGATTATGTATGTATTTCTGCGGTCGTCATAAGAAATTATTAAAAATAAATATTTTCACTTTCTCAATATATTTTTGTTTTTATTTCCATTAGTGAGTACACTATAGGAATATTTCAAGTATAAACCATTGTTGCAATTTCTTATTACAATAATACAATTCACTATAATATGTCTAGAGAGGTACATTAAACACTTATGTACATTACTTAGGTACATTAAACACTTACTCGGTAAAACGCTTTGGGAACAGATAAAATATATATGTATTATGTACTTGGTCAAATGTAAATAAAAAACCTCTAATCAGTAGAAGTTTAGTAGGTACCTACAATTTAATTGAATTATCTGCAAATATAGAAAATATTATATGAAGTATAACTTATAAAACTGGTTTTAGCTTACAATTTATTAAGATGTGAATAAAGATTTATTTTTACAATATTGAATGACTGTGACCTTGATCTAAACAAGACTTATGATGGATTTACCAAGATTGATTCAAATACATTTTGCTTGATAATATTTCTTTTCTGATGATATCATTCAAAGACATGGGATGAATTGATTTAACTGTACTTATTTTATATTTTCTTCAATGTCTGTATTGCGAGCGTCAAAATTGATGACAAAAGAGAATACAATTTGAAAGACTCGGAAGTAAATAGTATGAGTGGATTTTTTAACATTCCTAAATTCCAGCGGACTTTCTGCCAATAGAATTATCATAAGGAGACGGACGCCTATGATGTTATTATTTCTGCAACATTACCCGACTGTAGGTAGTGACTCATAGTTGAGTAAGGGTACAGTAGACGCGCGTCTACATAATAAATTAAAAGAGCCCATTGTTATACATAGTTGTCTGTACTCTGTGTGAGAAAACGTTTCTATAAAAACCCCATTTAGTTCTACGGATCCTGTCTACTTTAACTTTAAATGTTGTCAGTTTAATTTATGCTGCTGTCAGTTTATTAATGTATGTTTTCCTAACATGAATAGATTTGTGAGTGGGATGTTTTTCTTACGACCAAATTTATATAGCCTGCGAGTATATCTATAAATTAAGTAATTTTTCATGATAAATTTAAGGAAATCTTTATTGAATGACTCAGGTCATGAATGCGATCGATTTAAGATAATATGTTTACAAAAAGTTAATGTCATTAAGAAGTAACCGATAGCGGAACACTCAGAGATCTTATAACTTACTGATATCAGGAAACTGGTTAAACTTTTATCCGTTTGATGGTTAGTAATTTCATATTATTACATTCAATATGAGGCTAAGGAGTTATAAATAATTTTGTATTTTATAACTAAATATTTAAGAAATTTTCATATGTATAGAAATTGTTTACAAATGAAACCAAAATAATATTTAAATATTTATTCAATGATGTACATTGTTTTTCAATATAATCATATTTTATACTCTGTATTCAATTTTACCCTTATACCTAAATATTTGACTCTATAATTTCAAATATGCTTTAAATACAAATACATATGTATTTCGACAAGATAAAAAGATTTCATATATTCATAGATATTCCACTAATATTTACAAATATTAACAATATTTACAAATAAAATCGTAATAATATTAATTATTTTCAATTTATTTAACATATTTATTATAGAACTATAATAATTACATCAATTCATTCATTATGTTGTAAATAAGTTCGTATACTTTCTGATCTGATTTTACCATCATAAATAAATCTTAATGGAAATAAAATCGAATTTATATTACAGACCACTATAGACAAAGATATCATGATAACATCAGGGAATCGGCCTCCATATGTATAGACGTAAATATACCATCAAATTAGTATGATTAAACTATCGTGTGTAGTCAATGTGTCCGTGTCTCTGCAGCATATCTACCGAGAGCGTGTGTGCGGGAGCGGTGCGTCGAGATGATCGCGTGACGTGACTGAGTTGTGTCGTTGCGTGCGCCGTGCTGCGTAACATCGGCGCGGCGTTCATGTGACCATTGTAACGGAGAGCATTCAGCTGATGTGAATGTAGACAAAATTATTATCTTTTCAGAGCTCTTAGAGAAAGAATGTCTGTATATTACATAACGTGACATTTTCTCTTTACAATATATACTTTATAGACATTATTGAAATTCATTGGAAGACACATGTTATTGTTTAAATAAAGTTATGATATTCGAAAATTGTTTTTGACAGGACATATTAAAAGAACATAATACATATTCAAATTCAATTTTCCTCGTGTACACTATTCTGGATATAATTGTAATGTCAGTTTTCATTATGACTATAAATACATATTTATAAGTTTTGGAACTTACTTGTAAATAGCATCGTTTATGTGGCTCGTGATAAAGCTCATAGTCACTTGAAGATCCGTCCGGTTTCTGGTTGCATCGCCACTGTTAAATAAAAAAAAATATTTCAGATTATAAAGACAATCGCCTAGTTGTAGGGAGAGTAAAAAAACAATAAAAACCTTAGAAACACATCATTCTATTTCACATTTTGTTCATCAAAATCTTTATTCCTAAACCAAATTATCATCACAAAACTGATTTACATAACAAACTATATATGAATATAATATTTGATGTTTCATATTTTACTTTTTCTAAAAATATCCGTATAAATGATTAAATTAAACTGTCACCGGTCGACGCTCCTATAAGTAACATTATCTTACCTTGTACAACAAAGCTTCGTTAAAAATTAGTACATAAAATGTTTTTCTATAAATATAACGTAAAATCGTGTTAAGTTACAGAGATCGTATCCATGTTTTTATAATCAAACATTACGAAAAACTTTTAAATGAAATAAATTCAAACAAACATATTTTATTTGCGTTGATCTTTTATTAGCATTCAGTAGTTACACGCAGAGTTTGGTTAGCTCTTAACTTATAATATAACATGGACCCCCTACAAGCAGACATTAATATACATTTTGGGTCACTGAAACCTACCCAAATGGATTTGATTTTATGAACCTTTGTTATTAATGAAAGCGAAAAGAGTTTGCTGTTAGTGTCACTTGTATGACTAAGATAATTGTATTGACTTTTATTTATTTTTTTATTATAAAGTAATAATGCTAAGGTACATAGTATTTTGAAGTTATATGGGAAAGTACCCATTTAGAACAAATTAATCATATCTATTTAATGTTAAAATTTAATGTAAATATATACGCAAGATAAAATATTGAAATATTCAAACGTTCAGCAAGATTATTAAAAACATATAATTATGTGATTGTTACCTCGAACTCCAAAGAAATATTTGACGGTCTATTAAGACGGTGCTTGGTTATACGAAGTTGTAAGAAAAATAATTTTTTGCTGCAGGTGTTTAACTAAAAATATTTATAACTTTATTCAACGGAAGATTACTAAGAAATGTATAGAATAGAATTTTTAATATTTTTTTATTGAATAAATAAATATGTAGTACGGAAAAATCATTAATATAAAAGTTTTTCAAAATATACTTTTATATATCACTTTTTGTGTGTCAAATGACTATTGCCAGTTCATTATAATAATACTGGATGGAGCCAACATATTATGTGGCTAGGTGTTTTATTTTCAAATTACTCTCTTCGTTGATCTAGAGAATTGATCAGACAATATAAAAAGACATGAATCCGTAGGGTGCGTGACATTTCTTCTACTACTATAAATAATCTTCTATCTTCTATATATATAAAAATGGATTGCTGTTCCTTAGTCTCGCTAAAACTCGAGAACAGCTGAACGGATTTATCTTATCTTAGTCTTGAAATGTTCGAGGAGGTTCAGGAAAGGTATAAAAGCTGAAAAAAATTGATTCATTACTAGGAAAACCATAAAAACAGCCCTTTTCTATTTCCCATACAAACGTTTTTTTTGACATTAGATTTGACAACTATGTAGTATGTCAATCATTCTGTCGCACTTCAAAACACAGTGATTTATGGCTTACTCCAAAAATATAAATAAAAAAACTTAATAGATATTTCTTGATTATAGGGCGATACGAAGTTCGCCAAGTCTTCTAGTATTTAAATATTTGCTTAGGTGACACTACGATCCAGCTTTATTTATTTTTTCAGATCAATAAATCAATCCTAATTTATATTAATATTATTATTCATATTTTGTCTCATCTATGTTATATTATTTTGAAATTTCTTTTTTGTATGTACTGTATTTATATTGTCAAAAGTTTTTATTTAAAAAATCATAAGGTCCGCCATGTAGTAAGTAACGTGATACTTTTGAATCTTAAAGTTTAATTGACACTAAATACATATATTATATTGCATTATCCTCAAAACTAAAGTATGAACCAAAAATTTTACGATAAAAGTTAAATCTCTTAATGTGACGCATACAAAAGACTTAAACTGAAAAATAAACGTTTTAATTTTTTTTATTCAGGAAAATTCTTCAGAAAATAAATATTTCATAAAACAATAAGACACAAAAATGTTCACAATCTAATCACTATGAAACTACTTCATACCCGGTTTAAGAAGCAATTCTGTTAATGACAAAATATACCATAATTTACTACGGATATTCGATCATCATTGCAATGACTAAAAGTTTAATTTGTTTATAATACTACTGATAGACTTCATAATACGAGTTTCTAGAATTTTATTAAGGTTACCTATACGGATATAGGACTATGGATCCTTCGACGCATCATTTTAACTGATATATATCACAGGCATGTTTTTACCGTAAACTTGGTCTGTTGACACACGGCTCGTCCACAAAGCAGTTTGTGTACCGAACGCTGAAAGTTCCTCGTCATTAAACAGTATACTATAGGATTGATGGCCGAGTTAGCATGACCTGGAATACACAATTTGTTTAAGTTTTAAACAAAATCGAGCAACCTAACAACATACAAAACTGATGAATAAAGTAAACTTTACCGACAAAGAGGGCATAAGGAAGAACCAAGCTCAATGCTTTAGTATTAACAGCATTTATGTCAAGCAATAGTTGCATGATATTGTAAGGCATCCAACACAGAGCAAATAAAACAGCCAACAATAATAAGATCCATGCCACACGCTTCCTCTCCTTCATTAGTCGCAAACCCTGGAACAAAGACTCTTTTTTAAAGTATGTATTATAAGGGTTACGAATTAAATCTGTTTTAATTATCATTATTCTAACATAACATCAGTATTTATAGAAAATATGTACATTTTTAGAATATATTTTGAAAGCCCTGTGCGTAATATGTTGTATATTTTTTATATTAAAATTCGTAGCTCACACAAGCTATAAATCAAAAGAAAATCTTCTTACTGACGGAATTTACGTGCTTTGTGTTTATAAATATTAGAGACTAAATATTTAAATCTCTTTTGTTTTGTTTTTTCCTAATTTGTTTGTTCATTGTGCAATACAGTTAACCATAAGTTATTCATAAAAAGGCAATTACTGGTGTTTAATTATAATTTTTTGCTGAGTAGAGATAGCTCCCGTGAGTAGGCACGGGTTTAGATTAAGGGTATTAATTTCAATATAAGATATTTCTTTTAGAAGTGATACAATTTTAAATAGTAAAAAACATTAATCTTTAGTTTTTTACTAATTATAATGAATGGAATTTCATCAATACATTTTTTTTAAGATATGCTTTTAATAATATATGTAATATTGAAACATATTTATTATGGTAAAAGTTTTACCTGTTGCATGCTGACATTCCCTTCATCAATATCGAAAGGCGGCCGCACAGAACAAAGAGTTCTACCCATGAATGCGTATGACAATATCGTGATTGATCCTAAGAGAAAAGTTTATTAGTAAGTAACATTATATTACTTATACTGTAGTAAAGTTAGATATTTTTATCACCGTTAAGGGTCAAAAAACAATATTATAGTATAAAAAGTAGTATTTATATGAATATTCAATTCAACCTTCGCTTTAACGTGACGATCAAATTACCAATTATTACTTATATTAATTCATCCTTAAAATAATCCTTTATTTTCTATATATATGATATTCATTGTGGTTATCAGTGTAAAAGAAACTTTAAAAAGCATTTTCTGTTTTTGAATTTATAAGGAGCCTAATAAATGGAATTAAGCAAGTTAAGACATGTATTCGGTACATGTATTCATTTAAAAATTATACATATATGAAAATAAACTCTTAATAATTCTCAGATCATTTATAGATTATATTAAGGTCTTTCAATATGTTATTAAAAAAAATACTGAAAAATACAAAATTTTAATATAAATACTATTCTGACAACAGTTAATAAAAAACTGGAAGAAATTAAACAATATCAAAAAGGATATATGTACATAGAGTAAGAGCCCGGGGCCCCCAGACGTTACTTATTTTCTGAGTAACGAAAAGTATCGTACAGAGTAGTGTTAGGGTATACGTTGAAGGAATGCATACCTGCTAACTTGGACCGACGGCCAATTCACAGGTACCAGGTGCTAGAGGTACATAAAAATATTGGTCACTTTTCTTAAATTCTGAGAGCTGATTTTTATATATATTTTAAAAAATTGAATTAAACATTTAAAATTAATAGTGCCAGAACGTTTTCGTCGGCGGTAATTTACGCCAGAAGCTTTAAAGTTTGGATAAAAATAACGTAAGTTTACTCAAAGTCTGAGTCTTGATTTTTATACATATATGATATTTTAGAAACTATTTTAACACTATTTCTATGCAGCCATGAGTATGCATAAGATCATTATTTACGAGAAATAAGAACCGTCTTTATCTCAAAGTTTACCAGGCTTTCATGCGATCACTGGCTGTGATTACAATCCTGCTTTTTTTAAGAAAGGTAAACAAAGGCCATTCAGTATTCTTAGAAAAAACGAAGAGTACCAAAAAGCACTTTCCAGATTTAGCGAACTGGAGTTATTCAGTAGTAATAGTGAACTTGAGGAAGAAACCTTCAATACCATCCAAAACTTTATTTGCAATGTTTATAACGTGGCCGGAGTCATTGATGTAGATGCTACAAGACTTTAATAGCTTATCAACACCTATACTGCTTCTGATGTAAATGAAGAGTTTATCCGGAAAAATATTAAAAACTTTTATGCGACCAACTTACCACCGCGTAAGACTGAACTTCGACAGCAGTTCCGGAGAGCAAATTACATCGTTAGTCTCTTGGAATAATGCTCATATGAAGATGCTTGGTATTTTCAGACCAGAGAATAACGGATGGAAGCTAGAAGACAAGCGATATCAATTTCATTGGTTCGATGGAGACCAGTTACCGTCAGTGAATCGCTTGACAAAAACTTCGATTTTTTTTTTAATTTCTTTTATAAATATGTAGCTATTTTACTCATAATTATGATATTTTATTTGATTTTACAGAGACAGAAACAAGTAATACTGATATTAATGATGGTGATGATGACTTAGAGACTCAATACAATAATTGGCTGGATGACGAGTTCTCAAATACCAATGATGACGATGACGAATATTAAAAACTAAAATTTAATTATTAATAAAGAAAGTTATTCATCTTAAATATTTTTTTTATAATATTTGCTCTACATATTTCTCTATGTTTTGTAGAAAAATACAAATAAATATTTTTTACAGGACAAAATGCTAGTAACAAAATTATTTTTTTTGTTACTTTTCGTACGAACCTTCCCACTCATAACTTAATAATTTTTATCATACTGAAATTTATAATTTGTAATTGGGCACTAAAATATGGTTTGATTATTATTTAAAAAATTACAAGACTGAACTAAAACATAAATTCAACAGGCCTGTGATATAAAACCGCGAAAACATTATGTGCGCGTTAATACTCATGGCGAGTTTTAAATATGTCTAGGAGATATTTGGCCCCTAGAATTTCTCTGGCTGCATAGAAATAGTGTTAAAATAGTTTCTTAAATATCATACATAAAAATCAAGACTCAGACTTTGAGTAAACTTACGTTATTTTTTTCCAAACTTTAAAGCTTCTGGCGTAAATTACCGCCGACGAAAACGTTCTGGCACTATTAATTTTAAATTTTTAATTCAATTTTTTAAAATATATATAAAAATCAGCTCTCAGAATTTAAGAAAAGTGACCAATATTTTTATGTACCTCTAGCACCTGGTACCTGTGAATTGGCCGTCGGCCCAAGTTAGCAGGTACCTTCAACGTATACCCTAACACCACTCTGTACGATACTTTTCGTTACTCAGAAAATAAGTAACGTCTGGGGCCCCGGGCTCTTGGACTAACATATTTAAAACAACATTAAGTTTTTTTTATATTACAGCACTGTGGAGCTAAAACCTTAATTAAACATTAAAAGGAAAATGAATTAAAAGAATAAAAAACTTATTAAATATAATATATTAATATTATATAAAAACATAGTTATTGTAAAAGTTTAATATTGGTGGTAGGTCAGGGTACGATAGATTTATTGGTAAATTTAACCGTCAACGGTGACTACGTCGCACCATGTAGGTTGCCTATTTGTTTGTCCCTTTGGGACATAAAAGAATATTAAAGCAACTGGAAAGCTATATTCCGGTAGTTCTTGGTTCAAATACTACTCGTGTAAATGAATTTTTCACTTTATACTCTCTATTTACACATTTTTATTCAAGTATTAGCGCTATATTACTTTGATGTTATAAAACGTTATTATTCAAATTAATAATGAGATCTAAGATTTTCGCGAGTACTCATTTAAATGAAACTAATATTTTGGGATCTACTACGCGATATTTTATTTTTGATTATAAACTAATATAATATTCAAATTAATTATTCTACATACTTATTAAGAGTAAGCCTCTAGGTAATGTTATTACCGTACAGGAAACTATTAGGTAAGTGTAAATGAAACAGATTCATAAGTTATGAATTTGTTCCTTTAATTAATTATTAATATTAAATTATGAGATCTTCAAGATGAATTTATTTTTTAAGTTATATTTTGCTTATATTCATTCATTATTATGTTCCCTTACTACGCTGAGATAGTAATACTCTCGTCAATATGATTGAGTGAGGATTATAATGACTTTCACTTAATACTTGTAAAGTACATTAAAACAATTATTACCGTAACAGGTAATTCTGGTTTCGTTTATGGTTTTATGACTTTAGAAATTTGATACTACAGATTTATTTTTAAGACAATTTACTTATCAAGAGTGTTTTTTCGTTAGATTATATATTGTTAGATTTTATAAATGTTAGATATACTATATACAACTTAATTATATAAATATATTGTTCAAATAGTGGTTTAAAAATTTTGTAGATCTTATTGGAAAAAAAAAATTGTCACAAATTAAATACCATTTGGTAGTTACAGTAAAAGATATGATATCCGTTTTTTTGCTAATCATATTTTTTTATCTAAATGAAAGACACCTGAAAAAAACTCAAGAAATAATTGGAATCCAGGACTTATTTTTATTAGTCATCCAATTTTGCTGACGATGTCATCAAATATAAAGCAAACGAATATGAATTGTACTTGGACCTAAATTTATTCAATGTATAAAGGACTCGGCCATCGTGTTTGATTTAGATACGAAAAAGATTCTCGTACGTAAATCTTATACTTCGGTAGATATCCTCTATATATAACAATTATGTACAGAAGTCTATTGCTAATAAACCATTCAACAGGAATTATCTTCTTTTGTTAAGTTCAATATAAGGCGTAAAATAAATTCAATTCTGTGTTACTATCATTAATCCGGTAAAATATAGTGTCGCTCTCGTTTCGTTCAAACTTATATAGGAGATTTTGTTTCAAAAAGTAATTAAATGAATTGTTGTAATTTCTAACTGTATTGGACGTTTTATAAATAATTACGTCGACAGAAATTTGGCAAAAAAGACGACGTTTGAAAGGGACAAAATAATTACAAACCTGGTATTGCGTACACTAACGTAAAGCTAAATGTACCAAATTGTTTTCTCGTCTCTGGACTGGGCCACTCTTCTGTACAAAAATGTACATCTTTTGTCTCTATCTGAAACCAAAATATATTTAAACATAATTATACTAAAATTAAATTATTATAGTTGAAATAATTTAAAGTAGAAGTAATTTGGTTGGATATTTCATGCGAACAGTTACTCTTTAAAATATATCTAGTTTCCAGTTTCATTACACCTTTCCCTTGTGATTTAAACTACAATATTATGCACAAGTAACGGTTTTGTAAATTAAAAGTGTAATAAAATGTTGTAGAAATCTGCACGCTAACACTTCGTTATACAACTGTTAAAAATTTCATTTCATGTTTTTTTTTGTCCATAAAATGAAGTTAACACACACACACACATTGTACTATTTTGTCCGACCAGAATTTGTTAGGCTTGCTGTTGAACGTAAAATCTAGTTTTATTTTTTATGAATACAGCAAGTTTTTGTTAAACACGGTTTATTATAAACATTTCCAGTGAAACATTTTTATCAAAAACTTTTGAAATTAAATTCAATGAATTGCTTAAATTGATTTCAATAGTGTTTTCACTATCACCGCGTATTTTATTTTTAATGGAATACGTTATGTACTTACTTTTTATATCTGAACCAAATATATCAGCTAAGAGTAAATAAGTTAATATTATATCATGAAGGTTAAATGCAAGTGATTTTTGTATATGCTCCGTTTAATTGTTAATAATTCAGAATAAAATTTTATATATACCTAAATTGACTCCAGATTTAATTCTATATGTTATATACGTATTTTAAAAAGTTACATAAGACCTACGTACTCAGAATATAAAATGAATATCTCTATAATGCAATATTATACTTACAGAAATATTTTTTTCTGTCTTGGATATAATTGGAACAGATTCTTTTCGAACTGACGCTACTAAGAATAGCGGTATGAAGATCAAAAGAGCTACGATCCATAACAGTGTGAGCAATAATAAAGCCTGTCGTCTGCCCGGGGGACGAAGTCGAGGTTCTGGAGCTATTGACAGCCAACGATCCACCGACATAGCTGTGAGAGTAAAAACACTAGCTGCGACGGCAACACCTGAGAACAAAAGAGATATTTATAAAATGTTACCCGAGTCATGAAAGGTGAGTTTGAGAATTTAAACAAAAATATTAATTCTAAGGGAATGCTAAGTTTGGGCTCTGTAAAAGTTCATCTTTCATCGTACGATATAATATCAGAACATAAAAAATGAGTGCAAGGTGGTTACCGAAACTTCTTTCAGCGGTACAGGAGAAAGTGCGCTGCGCCTCTACTCTACGTCTACTCATTACCCAAGCATCATGTATAAAAATTTGCTTTGCAATATAACGTGAACACAATTATAAGGATCTTAATGTACATTTAGTGTATCTGGTAAGGGGGTGCCACTATCTTAAGTGTCTGGCAATGAATATTGTGTTTTTTTTTTTTAATATTCTAGAAAGTTATTTAAAAAAATCGCTCTTTTTATATGCCAAAAGTAGATACAGATCTAGTTTATTTGATATACCTTTTGTACTACATATTTATCTGCTAAAGCCACTGTAATCCAAATTTCATAATGGGTCATCGTTCTTACTTGTTTTGGGAGAATGCGCTGACAAACTATTAGCTTTTATAAAATTTGGTCTTGGGTTTACGGGCTCTTAGTCTTAATTACCCTTCATAATGTTTTACAGACTGAGTCTTCATTTTACTGCCATTTGTGTTCTGGGACCATTTATTAAATGAAATACAATTTTAGGCATTAATTAAGATAGTTCTCTCTAGTAGACTAATTATTATTTATTAATGTAAATGAGGTGTCTCGGTAATGCGTCGCTACACTACACCCTTTGTCACACCTCAGAAATTTTCTACCAAACCTTTACAAAGCACTCTAATATAATCGTTTACTTTACATCTTCACTAGATTTTTTAACGGACTACATGAACATATTTCTAATTGCAGATGCCAAGTAAATTTTTACCAATACTTCATCATAGAAATCGCTGAATATTGCCTTCTGAATTCAATTCTATTTTATCTTTGTGGTTCTTGGTATTTAAAATAAAGATAATGATAATAATATTTGTCTCTTGTCGTGAAAAACAGATTTGTTCTTTAAGCAATTTATTACTTCAAACTACTATTCATTTATTTGAATTTCTACAGAATTCGTTTCTCACAGCAGCTATTTCACTCTAAAAAGTTTTCCCGGTAACTATAGGTAAAGCTCCTTCAAAATTCCAGTTCTAATATCAAATAAATACAAATTTCCTATATTATCTTAATTTTAATATTTTTTTCTTGATAATCAAAATAAATATAAGTAATTATAAATAATTCTCTTTCATCTTATTTTTTCAATTTATTTAGTTAGTCAATCATCACATAGCTTTTTCTACTACATCTCTCAGGTTAGCAAGTAGCGAATGTAATAAATGATTGAATACTTTCACTACAGTAAACAAGTAAGTAGTTAAAAATAATAAGCAGTACAAATATCATTAAAATTTAAATAATTAATAAGATTTTCTATCTACATAATTGGATCAGATTGTAAATACAAAGCACACAAAATCTCTAAGTCCTCAAAGGACTTTTCAAAATTATTATCAACGATAAGTCTCTGATTCTGGGAGGACTTAAAAAATATTGTTTTTTTTTAATATAAATTTTATATATTTTAATCGTTATCTAATATTAGGTAAAATAAAAAGGTTATATTCAGAATAATAAGGAAATACAATAAAATTCGAATAAAACAGTTCATAAAATTAAAGAATTTAAAATCAAAAATATTATTAGTTATTCTTTTATCCCCAGACAAATAGAATAGTATTTAATTGTTTATGATAACTTTCATTTATGATTTTAATTATACTATTAGAACAACGCATTATTTGTGGAGGTATGTATGTTTTCATTTGTATTTTTGTAGAAATATGGGAACATGGGATAAATTAATTACTATTTTGGATGAGGTTGTGTATTATATTGTTTTTATTGAACCGTCAACACTGTTTAAAAAGACCTATATATGTATGTATTTTGATAGAATTAGAATTAAAAAGCTAGTAAGCTTCTAGAATCTTAATTGAAAATCACTGACCTGATAGCTTGGGATCGCTCTTGAAATGACGCCATTCTCTTTCTGGCATTCGTAATAAAAGCAAAGCGAAAAAGACTAAATACGAAAGACTAGACACGAAAAATACAACCTACTAAGTGTACCAGTCAAAAATATTGTTGGGCTACACACATACAATGATATATTAGTATATAAATACTGTTACTATACTAACCTTGAATATAATTTACGATCTTGCAGACAGTCTCCCCGTAAAACCAGACCAGAGTGATGGCTTTACTGAGCTGAATCGGCATGCACACCCCCGTCACCAGCAGATCAGCTAGAGATAGGTTCACGAGGAAGATGTTCGTGACGCTAGAAAAATATATACTCATTATACACAATCAGACCGGTGACTTTCGGTGAAACTTTATAGTCCAGACTAGTAAATATTCAAGTAGAAAATTATTAACTATATTTACCTACACGCCGAACGATATTATGTACGATTTGCAAAGTAAACATTTTTTAGGGGATTTATTTTTCATATGTTATTACATTTTGATGTTTTAAAAGGACTTGTTATTTATTTTTTCATCATTAGACATCTACATTGTTTTAGCATTGGTGAAAACAAAAGGAAGAAATAGTTATACGAAACTGTTGCGGTCAAATAATGAAGTTGTTCTACTAAAGGAAAGTAGATGAATGACTTGTCGGCCACGAAGCAATAAGATGACCTTCGTATAGAAATAGTTTTAGTGGTAATTAAATATCTCACATAAAAACACCTAACTAATGGTTTTTATTGCGCATTACTAAGCTTTGTATGAATAATAAAGTTGGCGGTAGGCTTATTACCAGATTTCAAGAAATCTCAAATTTATTCTTTATATTTTACAACGATTTGGATTGGACTGTTATATTTGAAAGTGATTTTGTAATTTAAATTATTATTAATTTGTAAAAGTGGTGTGACGGTATTTATTTAATATCATATTGTGATTTGTATATTTATTAGATGTTTTTGGTATTCGTTAGACGTATATTTTATCTTTTTATAATTATGATATTTATTAAAAAACTTTATTTACACAAGTCACGTATAAAATAACAATTCATTTCAATTTAAAATAATTATGAATAGTATTCAAACACTTATATATAACGATTCAATAATTTTATTTTTATACCCTTTAAGAGTTACTTAATTTTATTTATATGATTTTATTTCGACCGCTTTGAATGAGTGTATTATAATTCAGAGGAAGAATTGTTAACTATTTCATATATTAAACGTAAGCGATTGATTTCGAGAAATATCTTGATTTACAATAATACAAACTAGATAAATGGAAGACGTGTTTGTTTGTTTGTTTCATTGTTAATCTGATTTGATGTTAATGAAATAGACTCAACATAAATAGCGGATTTATTGATAAAATGATATAAAAAATATACAACATAAATATAAAAAGACAGATGTTTTTAGGCATGAAATTTTTTAAGACTTCGAACTTTTATATTATTATTAGACCTTTTCTTATAATACTTCCGAGTTCCGTATTTATTGCAAAGGATAAAAGTAACAAAACTTTATTTTCTTGAAAGTGATTCGGTTAATAATTATGTTAAGCAGCTTTTATTTTACATATAACATAAAGCGATGCAGGAGAAAGGATACTTGTTTAATAAAAAATAATCACTTATTAGAAAATAAATGTAATGAACACCGCAAACAATACACCCATTTTAAAATAGCAAACTTTGAAAAAATATATAAACGAAAATGTTTTGTCATGGCCGTTACAAAGATAGCTTTTGAACAAGGTGATTATAGGTGAAAACTGTTTGCACATATGGCACCTAGTTATATATAGGGCTTACACTACATTCGAATAAATCTTCGACTCAGTTTCACCAATCAATATTAGAAAAGTGACAGCTTGTTAAGGCGTTTGATGCTCTGTTAGATGTTTCCAGCGTCCCACCACGCACAAATGTCCGTTAAAATGTCTTAACAAGCCACTAATATTAATACCTGCTCCAGTGCTCCCTGAAATGGCTAACAGAATGTTAATACGTTGTCAAAATTCAATCGTCCAATCACAGCCCTGATTTCTGGTAACCATAGTAATGTCATCTGTTTTGTCAGTTTCGACTATTTTCTTGTACTTAATAATAAAGTGAATTAAAATTTAATTTAGTATAATAATTTGTCTCCAGCTTTTCTTTGACGTTGCAGATTAAGTTTTCTTTTTATCTCTTATAATTTGAACACAATTTATGTCTATATTCATAACACAACAATATATAACACGATTTCGACAAATTACACCTAGTAAATTGAAAAGAAAGCTTTTTATGTGCCAAATGTATGCAACCAACGTATATAAAATTTGGTCGCATTACCTCAAAAGTGACGCATCGAGGAATATATACGATCAAAGTGTAAAGTGGGGCATTGTGGCAAACGTGTCATGTTAAACGCTATAGTTTCAATTTGGTCGTCTTATAACAAGAACGAATAATTTGGTACTTAGTCATTTAACATGACATTTAATAATCCGTTGTTAATTTTGGATCTTGGAACGTAAATAATTTAACAGGCATTTATAATTTTGAAGGTTTGATAGTAAATACTTTGTTTAGATTTAACAAACATTGATTGGTGAAACTGGGTCTTATCTTTTAAATGTTGAGTATCAACAACATTGTAAAAAGAATCAAGTAGATATAAATATAAAGAACTAAACTTATTTATAATATAGATATAAAGCTATAGTAATAAATTAATATATTAAGTGTTGTTGGAACATGTTATTAAGTTCACTCGTCTATGTCGAAGTCATTAATCATATTTGTTTTTAATTTCAATTTCTTGTCCTATAAAGAGTTAAAGCATTAAACCCAGCCCATGTGAATGTTTGATATTAATATTATTATTAAATGAGATGGTGTTCTTAATGTATAGTTGTCATGAGTTTCTTTTAAGAATTTATAAAATATTGAAATGTTCCTCTTTTTATACTACTCAATTATTCGGCGACTAAAAGCATTTCATTACCTGCTACTTAATTCTTTCACGTTTACCTAGTTAAGTAACTAAAGTAAGCAATAAGGGATTTGGCCTGCAATATTTTACACTGTCTAAATAAATCCTTATTTTTAAAACATTAATTAAAAATTGTTTATATAATATCCTATTTTAATCGTTTCTTTCTTCCAAAAACGCTACTGGACCATCAAATTTTGCCAATATTTATAAGAAATTCGATATTATAACAGTATTTTTAGTATAGCGTATCGGATTAGTAGTGTGTTTACATAAACCACAGGTTTCCACTAGAGAAATTAGATATACGTGTATCTATTTGTAAATATATCTACATATATCTATATACCAAGGGTATATCCCAAATTAATCCATGAAGCCATTGAAATAAAGAAATATCCGTATATCAAAACTGATGACTGGTAATTACTTAACACCTGGGACTTCTTCATGAAAAGTTTGAAATTCAAGGTAAATGATTTTACCACATAATGTTAAGACATAGTAAGGGCGTTTTGCTTACATCCTAATCATTACTGGAGAATAATAATAAATGATTTATGTTACGTAATAAAAAAAGTTACTGTTAAAATAAAACAGGAGTAACTAACAGACACTTATATCTCGACACTATAATTGAGAAGTATTTTAAATTGTAAGAGAATAACTACTGAGAAATTCATGTTATCTTTCTTTAGGGTGTCGATGTTCCTTCTTGAATATTTCACTAAACGAAATAATTTTGTTCTTGCAATAGAATATTGTTATTAACACTCTATAATGGAATCACAATGTCCAAGAAAATTAATTGGTGATTTTTTTACATTCAACGGTTTAATTAAATTGGTTCTGGACCATTAAACGGGAAAACCAGTAACCGTCAAACTTTTAATTATAAAACAAAGAGAGGCTATCTGAAGTTCAATAATGATAAGTTGATCATATTATATAACAGTATATAGTTCTATAATGATCATTTAATAATATTAATTCATAACGATGTCCTTATATAATATGTCATGTTGCGAGTTAGTTAAAGTTCTCAAAATTGAGTATGTCTTCATTTAAGAAAGTCTTTTCTAGGTTCATTAATTTTAACACATAGATCAAAATATTAAGAGCATCTTTTATATTCCACTCTCTGATTTTAGTGTTGTCAAAGTATATTACACTTATTTAGTTTTATAATTATTTTTCATTTTCAACAGCTATTTCTTTATTTTTGTTATTATTTACGTTAATTTTTCATGCTAAAGGGGGCAAACAGGCAGACGGCCTACCTAATGGAGGTAATTAAGGTCGCCCGCAAATATCCACAACACAGTTTTGCGGATCCATTGCCATCCTTGATTAAAGAAGAGGGAGAGGAAAGGATGGGAAAGGGGAAAGAGCAGGAAAAGGCAACCGACGCTTGCACCCATCTGACGAAACGGAGCCATTTCAAGTTAATGAACACACATCTTCTGTCACAGGGTGGTACTTCCCCAGTCAAGTCCATATTTAAGCTGCAGTAAATTGATAACAGCATGGTCCTACCTTGAGATTTCTAATTACTGCTTTAATATTGAATTTTGCACTTTTAATATGGACACTGATTCAATGTGCGTCCTCTAAAAATCTGTATAAATTATTTAAAACGCAATTAAACTTTCAAAAGTTTGTTAATCGGTGAGGTAATACAAAAAATTTGAAAGGCAGTATGTTTATATACTCGTAACTTGTACGCAAACAGTATTATAATACTTACATGTAGTTTAAGTCGTAAAATGAAATTGGTCTCACTATGTAGACAGACTTTAGTTATGTTTGAAAAGAAAGCTACTTAATAATAAAAATATCAAACGAGAAAATACTAATAACAATTCCAAAGTCAAATAAAAAATCTAATAAAATATGTCAGTTAGTATGTTGTGATCTTCAGGTAAATAGTTGTTCGCATATTAAATCTTTAATATATTTTAGTAATGTCTGTAGGTGGGGAGTCTGATAAGAAGTCTAAAAAGGTCTGGCTGGAACAACTGGAAAATATATCTAGTACTTTTTAAATAAAATCTTTTAAAGTCCTATTTGAAAATAATAGTTACAGATATTATGACCGTTTACATATCTTCTTATCATCAAGAAATCTTGGAATGGTTAAAAAAAAATAAAAGGGCTTTTGGAGCTTCTCTTAAAACAGGGGCCTCAGAAAATTAAGATTTATAGTAATACTCGTAAAAAAAAAATGTATACATATTATAAGCTACAGCAAAAAGCAATCTTTAGAAGACAGTGTAATGGAAAAGATTAAAGACTTTCACAGATATCAAATACAACCATT